CAGTAAGTTATTTGGCTAAGAGGCAGAAAGGGTGATCATGATGGTCACTGAATGCATTCTAACATGGTCACATAAAGCCCTGTTTTGTTTATGATTTAAGAACTGCTGTTCCTTGCTTACCGTTCAGCTACCCAGATTGTAGCACAGGTTACTGTCGGTCTCTCCCTTCCATCTTTTCCTCCTACCATCCACACACTTCTGCCTTACGCCGTGTCCTGCCATAACTTAGCTATGAGGGTATTTTTGCATGTGAGCACTGCCTAGTTCAGTCCAGTTATTGTAATAAAAATACTGTTCTTAATTATATGCTTGGACTCAGATGTTCTGAGACAGTCAGTCTGGTGCAGTATATTACAACTCCTCTGTTAATCAACGCTTGGTACTCATGTCTCTTACCCCACTATAACCCCACTGTAAATGAGTGCATAGACACGCTCAGTTTGATGTCATTCTTTGATAGTTCTCTCTTGTTCACCATGGTTTGAGAGATGGCGGGGAGTCTGCAATGGTCATCTAGCATGTGGTGCTCCCTCAGTATTTTCCATCTCTACCATGTATAGTTTCTGAAGCCAACATCTTGTTTCTTTCTGGGCTGACTTGGGTTGAGAAAGCCATGGGGAAGGGCTTTGTATTACTCTTTGTTCCCAGTCATTGTGGGCAATAAAGAGAAGCCTCATCCATTCCTCTTTAAGGTCTCTGTATGCACTGAGTTTTCACATCCTCCCCATCTTCTATTGCATATACTCATCTGTTCTCTTTTCTGCTTGAAAACACTCTCTGAGGTATGTCTACCTGTTCTCTCTTCTCTTCAGCCAAAATGAAAGTAGGATGCTCCCTCTTGGAGGGAGAGTGAGTGCTGTTTTTAGGAGCACTCACTCTGGGAATGTTATCTGCCATATGAAATGGAGGTTCAGAGGAGTTCTGTCTAGCGGAGACTGACTGAAGGAGGCTGCGATGGTTACAGTAACCTATTGTACAATGCTCAGAGGCCAGCTGGGAGACTAGCATTGGCAAGATGGTTTGTACCCAATTTGTCCCCCTTTTTATGTTTTTATTGTTCAGGTTTTATTTACTTGTTTGTTCAAATTTATTTAACAGATAGTTTCTTACTGTCATTATCATCATCAGTTTGTTCTAATTTTCAAACTTTGGAGAGAAGGATGTGAAAATGCGAGAAGAAATGCTGGAGCAGCAAGGTATTCATGTTGCTTCAAAGATTTGCCTACAGTGTTTGATTGATATTGGTTGATATTAAAGGCAATATAGAAGCTGCTCTCTCTTCCAAAATGCAGCCAACTTCAAAAAAAAAAAAAAAAAAAAAAGAAAGTAAAAAGGCTAAAGCTCGTAAAGCTAGATTGCAGAGAATCACTTTTGTTTCCAGGTTTTGAAGCTACCCCTTCTTCTCATCTGAAAGACATTGGCATGTTGTAATGCACAGGCCATTTGTTCACTTCATTGCAGTAACCTGGTATCTGTAAAGGTGCTTCTTTTTGCACACAGGCAACTTCTTAACATATAGGTACATTATGAAGTCATTTATAGCATTTACCTACAAAGACCCTGAATTCAGACAGTAGAGCCAGGACAGTAAAGAATGTGTCAGGATGCTGCGTCCAAAACACAGGCTTAACAGTTTGATGGGGCATGATCTGAAAGCTGCACACCCGATAGGAGGGGGAAAAATGGGTCACACAGAGTAGAAGTGTAGTACACAGAATGGGAGTTTGTAAAGTAACATTGCTAGATGAAGCTAAAACAATTTCCAGCTGTATGTTTATGAGTGCTGCAATATGGGATTGGGAGGACATGGTCCTGTGAACCTTTCTGCAAGTACTAACTACATAATGTTATGTAAGTAGTCTCACTGCAGCTAATGGGAATATTCAAAGTAAAGCATGTGCCTACGTTCTTGCAGCACTACAAACCATGTGGTTCTTCTCCCTACAGTTGACAAAGCGCCGTGACTTGGCAGTGTTAGCACAGCTTACTGGAATAAAAAGATGTAAATTCTAAGAAGAGCAACAAAAATTATTAGGGGGCTGGAGCGAGGGGAAAGGTTGGCTACCTGGTGGTAGCCACCTTACAAATTTTCAAAGGGTGTAAAAAGAGAGAAAGGAGAGACATTGTGGAGAGATGGCATCATGGAAATTGGCAGAAGGAAGAAGAAATTATGAGTAACAAGTGAAATAAAGAACGAAATATATTTCAGGGCTGATTTGTCACTAATAGCAATCAGCCTGGGGACCTTATATTTTCTTAAAATTTTGGATATTTTTGTTCTGCTTCCCATCAGTCTCTCACAGTCCTAAAGGGCATTGCCTCTGCCTAGAAATGGACAAAATTATCCACACTTTGCGGTAAGAACAGTCATGCACTGGCCTTTGTTGGAGGGGCTGGCAGGAGCCCCCAGAGCATTTCCAGCTCTTCTGTCTGAAATATTTTCAAAGCTCCTATAAAATACAGGAGCCTTGAATTTCTTTTGGAGAGAATTTCTACGTGATAGCCTCTGTTTTTCTAATACAGAGTAGAGGTAATGCTCTGCAAGGGGTTTGGGAATATCTCCATGGAATTCAATGGCAATGAGATAAAATCAGTGCTGGCAAGTCCAGCAGCAGGATGTTGTTAGTAGTCCTCTTTGGGAACCTGCAAAGTGAAAGGTAGATCATTGATCTGGGCCCTAAGTGTGCAATTTTTTCTAGAGCAAAAAGAAATCAACAAAAGCCTGAGGGAACTAGGAAGAGGAAGCCTCAGGAGCTGCAGCCAAAATGAGCACCAAGTGAAGGAATTGAATTTGCTGCAAACACCTTGAACATCCCTGCTGTCAAAAGGGAATAAGGACCTTCTCCTGTGATAGGGCATCTTGCTCAGTGGGTGAGAGTAGCCCTATTCCCAGGTAGTTCTTCATTTAGTTTTGTTTGTTGAGCAACACTTACAGTCTCCTGCTGTAAAGGATAAATTAGCTAAGCAGTGATTAGACAGTTTCTCATTTCCATGCTAGCTTGCAAGGACCTAGCTGGGCACCTCTGCACAGCGTTTGTCCTCTTAGACCAGCCTCACCAGTCTGTTCTCTCCTTGATCTTTGCTGCTTATATACAGGGACTTGCGCCCACGTTGTCACTGAGCAGCTTTTATGATCTCCCTCCCCAGGTCAGTCTCTCTTTCCATGAAGTTGCTTTTGTCCCATAATTGCGTTTTGTTACAAGCTTCGCCAAGAGCTGGGAGCCCGTGCAAGGAAGAGCCCGTGGGATAGCAGCTTCAACTGTGTTCTGTCCTGACAAGCAGATGGGGGGAGATCTGTCCCCCACACACACAGTGATACAGGGGTGAGGCATTTCTTGCGCATGCTTCCTCCATCTAAGGGACAGATTAGGGGCCAGTTTCCCTTTAAACGTCTTTGGGAAGTTTGCTGTCTTCAGAATGGCTGGGGAGCTAAAAGGCACAGCTCTGCTGAGATCGTCCAAGCTGTCACTGCCTTTCACTTTGGCCTGATGCTCGCCGCAGCCTCTGTCCCACTCAGCCCTTCCGCCAGGCAGCCAATTAGCGAGAAATCCCACTGTGTGGCTAGCTCTGAACAGCCACCTCGCCAAGGCCCGCCTGACCTATGCCCTGCTGCAGCTGGGCGAAGGCTGCCTCCTGCACTTGGGGCCAGGGAGCCTGGGCGATGTGGAGTGAACTTGGGGCAGGAGAGGGCAGCTGAGAGCCTGCGCGGCTCTGACAGCCGGATGAGGGGGCCTTTCAGGAAGACCCTTCCCAGAGCCCTGAGTGCCACAGGTGGGAACATCTCTCCAGCTCCTGAATATTCATCTCAGCCTGGGCTGCAAAACTAGGCAAAGTTAAGCCCAGCCGGCTGCTGTGGTGCAACAGTAACATGGCTGTGCTGCTTACAGAGCCAGGAGCAGCCTGCTCGCTCCGGCTCCTAAGAGGCCGCCTTGTCCAGACATTGTGTGAGTGGTAGCTCTCCTCAGAGCTGAGCCACCAGTTTCTCCATGGTCTGGGGACTCAGGGTCTCTGGAGAGCCTTTGTGGCTTTGAGTCTTTAAAGCAGCTCTGTGCTGATGTATTCTCTCCTTGTTTTGCTCCTCTAGTTACTTTGCCTTCCCTTGCTCTCTCCCTTTTTGCTCCCACTGTTTGCCAAAGTGACACAGGACTTCATCTATTCAGGACGTTGTCTGGTCTTCTCTGAGCCTTGCTGTTCTAGCAGGACTCGGTATGCACCTAAGTTTTTCTGCTTGCCTCCTTTCTTGTCTCCTCTTGCTTCCTTTTCAAGCAGAATAAGTATAGTCCCTGTGCTGGGAACACCTAGAGGATACACGTGTGACCTGTATCAACCATTCCATGTTCACACTGGAAATCATGAAAAGATTTATGACATTATAACTAGATGCATCTTCCCCAATCTTTGTATCTGCCAGACCACCAGCATTTCTGTCTTAGCTATCAGGAAGGTCACAGACCTCTGCACAGTCTGAGACCCAGCCAGCAGCTCCTTCAGCATGTAGTTTTATAGTTTAAACTCTTCCCAGATTCTCTCCCTTTCTACATTTCATTTCTAACAAAGTCTATATGACTGGACTGAGCAAGTGATTCTGCATCTCATAGGAAGCAAATTCTTGCCCAGTCTTGGAACGATGGCAAGTAGGCAGCAGGTTTGAGTGCAGCTGGTGTCTTTCAGCTTCAAGGTTGTGTTCAAATGCACAATCCATGGCTATTGAGTCCTGCCCAGCACAAATTTGCTCCTCTTGTCAGATTTATTTTGACCTCGAGCTTCAAAGCTTTATTGCCTTGTTTTAATATTAAACAGCATATTTTAATCATTGCTAAATAAATCTGCTGTATTTTCCTGCACTAAGGAACAGGCTGTTTCACATCTATGAAGCATGGGAATCTTTATGTCTAGTGAGGGGAGTGGACAACATTCCCCACTTACTGCTGCTGCCTTCTCCTGTTGCAGACATTCCCGTGATCCCTGACTTGGAGGAAGTCCAGGAGGAAGATCTGGCTATGCAAGTGGCAGCTCCCCCCAGGTAAGAGCACTGCCAGGTGCTCTTGAGGCTCTTATCTGCAGCATAAAATGTGGAATGGCTGCTGAAATTAAACTCCATCTTATCCTGTGCTCTGTGGATGTCAGTGGCTGTCCCATTCAGCAGCATTTGATGCTGTGTGTTGGGATAGTGAGGCTCCAAGTCGAACAGTGCAAACTTGTTGTTTCCTGTTACACAGAGAAAGCAATTACTGTGTATTCTCTCTCCAAATGCAATAACTACTTTAGAAAAACACGTTTGATGTTGCAAAATCAAACCCTCAAAAGTTAGGAATTGCTTGATTTAAGGTTGCCTGTATAACCTCAAATGCCTCCAGTACACATGTATTATCACACACACTTTGATTTCACGGTCCTAGGCTGCTTTGCCCTCCACAGGATGTCCTCCTTACTCAACTGCCTAGTTAATTTGCAAAGTACAATCCTGTTGTTTGAAGGTGTTATCAGAACAGTCTTGGGGTTAGCTCAAAGGAGACCATCAGATTAAAAAAAATGAAATACTTGGGGGTTTTATCTTAAAAGCATCAGGACAGTCTATTCTCCCCTGTTGGGCCTACTGCCAAGATTACAGACTGGGATTTCTCTCAACTTTTATTTGGAGAGGTGGGATATCTTACTCTAGACCTCTTATAGGTATGGAGTAGGTATTGTCATTGAATAGCTGTTAACAAAAATAAATGACATTTATGGTAGTAAATTAAAAATTACTTTCTCTCACCAGAGTTCATTTCTGTTTTCTATCTTTTTTTTAATCCCCTCTGTTATTCCTGTATGCATTGTCTCTCTGCAATAGAAAAGACGAGTAGTTTTCACAGACAAACATAAACAGAAATGAAATTAATATAGGTCTTCTCCATAGCATTACATCACCTGTAAAGGAAAAGATGGCGTAACAGTATAATACCACTCCCTGCCCCTTTGAAGGCTACCTTTTAGAAATTGTATTTGATAGCTGTGACCCTGCTCAGACAGGGAAATCACAAACTCCCTACTATTTTGTAGCTTGTATGATGGGGCTATCAGGGCCTGCTTTACTTCCAAGCTAGGAGAGTGATTTGGTCTGTTATGTGCTTGGGTATGTCTATATATAGAGTTGGGGCTGTTTGGCTGTTTACCATGTTCCTGGGTTTTTTTCTGGCCCTTGAAGCTAGCCTGTGGATATTATCTGTGGGGTGCTGGTTTCTCTGAGGGAGGCAGTTGTCCCTCCACATCAGCAAGAGGCTTATTCCTATTTTTATGCATGTACAGAACCTGGCATGCAGATTTATGTGTCAATGGCTATTCATTTGTTGAATGAGATGTGCTCCTGTATCGGGCCTCCTGAGGGTGATGTGGACGCTCACGATGGGTGTCCCCAGACTCCTGTTCTCACCGCCTTTCTCAGATGTGCTCCCACCCTTAACTAGGTTTATGTCTTGCCCCTTTCTGGTTACAGTGTCCAGGTGAACAGAGTGCTGACTTACCATGACCTGGACAAAGATCTTATGAAGTATGCTGCCTTTCAGACTCTGGTAAGTGGCTGTTGCTGTGGGTAACTGATATTACTTCCTCTCCTTCCAGTCTCCCGTCACCCTTCACAGTGATTTTCAGCTACAGAAAATACACAGTCTTGTTATCCAGACATCCTCTAGGCTGCCTGCACATCTGTTCCTCTCTGCACTGGGGCTTGCATTCTTGTTTGTGCTTGTAAATCGTATGGGTATAATATCTGTTGCTCAGGTGAGGCTCCTATTGCTGTCCTGGACAAGGCATATGCCCCTTATGAGGCTAAATGTAGTCTCTGTATCTCTAGCAACAGTGTCCTGGTGAAATGACATCATCCTTCCTCTGTGTCTGGCCTGCTGAAGTAAAATTGTGGTTGTGCGTTCACAGGATGGAGAGGTTGACCTGAAGCTTCTCACCAAAGTTTTGGCTCCAGAGCAAGAACTAAGAGAGGTGAGTCTGTCTTTTGTGGAAACACCGAGAAGCTGCTTATGTTTCTCAGACTGTGTTTGGAATGTAGGCCTTTGTCAGAGGGGTGGAGGAGAGAGGGGTGAGGAGAAGCCTGTGAAGAGGGCTTTGTTGAGTTGAAGGAGGTCTTATTTCCCCAGCAGATTATTTTAAAGTATTTACAGGGCTTTCTCTGTGTGAGAGTATGGCATCACTCTGACTGGCCTCCTTCTGTATGAAACAGATCGGTGCAGAAACAGTGCTCTGTCGTATATTGTCTTTTGATAGCTACCATTAGCTCCAGGTGGTTCTGCAGGGTGGTACAGAAGGACAAAAGGAGAAAGCATTTGGGGTTAAGGCAGAGGAATATTCTAAAAGAAGACAGAAAAATCTCAGTACAACCGGGCAGGCAGGAGCTTAAGACTGGAAGCAAAGGATTTCTGCAACTCAGAATTACAGATGCCTCAGTAGAAGAGTAGAAGGGTGGAAGGTTTTTGTGGCTCCTCCTTATGCCCTGCTTGTGAGTATTTAAGATTAATGAGTATCAAAAAAATCTTCTTTATTGACTTTGAGAACATGAATAATTCTGTCAAAATCTTTAAATTGTAGCAGAGATTCAAATTTGATTCTCTCTAGGATTCTTATTGCTGCCAAGAGAATCTGGGACTTGGAGCCCCTTCCCTGGCATGGGCAACTGCCATCTAGCCTCTCCCTTTGCTCTTTAACTTGAATATTTAGCAGCATTCAGAGATGTCTGGGTGTCATCAGTAACATTTCAGCATGTTTGTCTCTTTTCTCTTGATAGGATGATGTCAGCTGGGATTGGGACCATCTCTTCACAGAGGTGTCCTCAGAACTAGTGACTGAGTGGGACCTGGGACAGTCTGAGAGAGAGGACCACCTCAGTCTGCCCTAGAGCACTGGCACACAAGCCATCTCCTCGTACACACATCCCCTGTAAATAATTTAGCACTTTAATTTTCTATTCACATGTTTGTATTTGAAAATTTATTTCAGACATGGAAATAAATATAAGCTTCATAGGAAGACTGGCTCGGGTATTGGGGTGTTTTGTAATCAGAGCCTTCGTTCTCAAAAGAGATTAAGAATTCCAAGCACAATAAAATACTTACTTATGAACAGTCACTTCCACCTCACTAGCACCTTTACAAATAACTGCAACAATCAGTCTTTCTTCTACTGAAATGCAACCCGTCTGGGGTGGACCATCTCACAAATGAGTAGGATGACTGTGGCTTTCATTGATGGCTATCAGAGGAGCTTAGGGTGATAGGATTTTTTTGGCCTAGGATGTCAAGATTATCATCTTCCTCACAACAGATGCCATGAGTTGTCAGGATATCCATTTTTACATCTCGTCCAGCGGCAAAGTTTTGCCTACAGCCTACAGCCATCCCTGCTACTTTAACCTCTCCCCTGGAACATTACCTCTGTATTGACTCAGAGGAAACAGCATCACCTATTAAACTGCCAACACCATTTCTTATGGCACCTCTTTTTCCCCTTGAGGTCTCCCAGCTAAGTACTGACCAAGCCTAACCCTGCTTAGCTTTTGCAATCAGATGAGATCACAGCCTGAGCTGAGATAGCTTCAGGCAATAGGTAGTTTGCAAAGAAAATGCTGTTTATTCCACATATGTGAAGGAATGAAGCCTGCTGCTCTGAAACACGATAACTCCCTGGTGGGTGTTTCCTTGGAACCAAGAAACCCACTCTCATTGTCACCTAAAGAAAAATCCATTTAGATGTTTAATTCCTTGTCCCCATAGAACTATAGTCATTATTTGCAGGAAACAGCAATATGAGTTCTAAGCCAATATCCTTCAAAGCCTTGCCCACTGGAGAATCTTGCTATACTTCTGGATGGCAGTGCAGGTGCTAGGAAGGAGGCGCTTGTTTAGTAGGTCTAATGGAGCACTGCGTTCTCACTCGTGCTGAGAGCAGGACAGGTCAAGTAACTCACTATGAATTCAGTACTTTGCAAAATAGACCCTTCCCAGAGCCCTGAGTACCACAGGTGGGAACATCTCTCCAGCTCCTGAATATTCATCTCAGCCTGGGCTGCAAAACTAGGCAAAGTTAAGCAAAATTTCCGCTCAGGATTGACAGGCAAGGAATTCTTCCAGCAAGAGAGAAGCACTTGCATGCCAGTGTGTGTGTGTGTGGGGGGGGGGGGGGGTGTCACCAAAATAAGGTGAGGCTGATATGTCTCAAGAAGATGCTAAGTTTTGTAAAAATAAAAAATCTCCCTTATAACTGGAAAAGTAGGTGAGAGAGAAATCTTGGGAAATCTTTGAGCAGAGACACCTGTTTTGGTAGGAACAGAAACTTCCCAGCTAAGCCAGCATCTGTGACATCTATGGTGTTTGACCAAGGAGAATTTAGGGCATTCCTACATCCCAGGAAAAAAACCAAAGCAAAACGTCTTTCATTAGAATTCAGCAAACTAAAGTAGTTCAATAAATTAGACAAAACCAGCAAGCCAGTGTGAGAGGAAAAGAAGAGTGAAAGGAAGAGGGAATAGGACATAGATTTACTCAGTTCATCCCTCAGAGATCACAGAGAAAGGAGAGACTCTGTCCTCTAAATTATAAACTGTAGGACCTTCCAGGTCTCTCCTTTCTACTTGAGGTGAGACTGCCCTCCCCTCTAAGCTGCTTGCTGGTATTGCCATATTCAGTGCTATCTGCTTCCAGCGAGATTGTAACCTCTTTGAAGCATAAAGCAAACACCTGTTTCTGCACCCTGAGAATGAGAGGGCAAACTTTAGTAGTTGCAGGAGTGGCCCAACGTAGATAACAAGTATCCTCCACTGAAGTTTGGATCTTTGCACCAAGCCCCTACCAGCAATGTACTGTCCTCTTACTCAGTCAGTGCTGCGCTTGCCTCCAGTTTGTTGAAAAGGAGGGCAAGAAAACAACATGAGCAGAAAAGAAAATGGGGCCAACAGATGAGACTGCCCTTCTCCCTTCAGCCAAGCTCACAAAGCATAAGAGACCTTGCACTTCTGGGTCACCTCATAAAACCACTCAGTTACCCAGTGGAAATCAGCTAGCTTTCAATGACCACAAAAGCTGAAGATGTCCTGGCCTCGGGCACAAGAGTGGGTGAGCTATGAATCCAATTTTTCTGGCTGCCCAGCCTGAGATTTGGGCTGTGGTATGTGGCATATTACGTGTTTAGTTTACTTTAGAGCTTTGGGGAGGTGGCACTGCTGGCCACCTGCAGCCTTAAGAGCGGAAAACTCCGTAGTGTTTAGGACTGTATCCTTTGATGTAGGCTGTGTGGGCCCTCCGTGCAGGGGTTGTACCAAGCCTATTGGTGTTCCAGCAGCAGTATGTGTTGCCCAGACAACCCTGGGGCTCTCTGCAGGAAGGCTTCCAGTGCCATCGTCTGCCTCCAAGAGCTTCTCTGATCTTCCTGGGTGGGAGAGCACTCCTGCCTGGCTCCCATCCCAGCAGGGAGAAGTGTAGCTGGACTGTGCAATGGTGCTCAGACCCACAGAGGCCGTGTGAGCCCTTCAGGAGCTGAGAGGAGGAAGAAAAGCACCTCTTGAAACAGGAGCAGGAAGGACATTGGAGCCCCAGAGATCCTCCTGGAGATGGTGAGAGGCAGGAATGTGTGAAGGCTTGGGGAGAGCTGCTCGAGACAGGGTATGGGGAGGAGGGAGCCAGGAGCAATAGCTGGGTTTGTGGGAGCCACACAGTGGGAGCAGGGGAGAGGTGAATGATTTGGTAACAGAGAAGGTAAAGGTAAAACTTGGAGAGGAGTGAGGTGAGAGCAAGTGCTGGTGAAGAGGCAGGAGAGAACAGAGCAGAGCACAAGAAAAGGATAGTGGGATTTGCGTGAGGCATTTGCTGATGTGCTGTGGCCTCTTTATGCTGCAAGAGCTGCTCTAAAGCTGCCAAAAATCTCCCAGAGGAGTGTGCTGGGGGCTGAGTGCTATCAACCCCCCTGCTCTGCCTTGGGGTCCTGATCGGGTGGGCTCTGGGGTAGGAGGCAAGCATGTGTGAGCCAGGCCTGTGCCTGGGCTGGAACCCTTGGGATCCCAGCAGATACCTGTGCAGAGTTTGAGTGGAGCTTGAAAAAAAATCACCAACTTATCTATTTTAAGGCAAGAAGAAGTGGCTTTTTTCATTTAGTCTGGCCTACTGTAATACAGCCTGGAGCAAAGTCCAGTGAAATGTGACTGAGCTGTGCCTGTCTTTCTAAAAGACAACCAGTATGTATGAAAGTCTTCCCTGGTTAGTTATACCAACAGTTAACTGCCCTTATGGTCCAAAATCTGCTTTATTTCTAGAGTCAGTTTTTGAGTTTCATCTTCAATATTTCCTGAGCCTGCTTATGCATTGACCTTCCCAGTTATACCATGCTGTCAGACATTTTCTCCTTGCTTCAGTATTTATGTGGACTGTGGTCAAATTGTCTCTTTAATTTCCTTCAATAAACTTAACAGATTTGAGACTTGTTTCTATTTCTTTTCTGTCCCTCCCCAGTTGGAGGTGAGATGTCTGGCTTCTGGCCTTTCTCCAGCAAGCGGTCCCCACCCACCCTCCTTTCGCAGTCATGCTTTTTGGTTGCAATGCTGGGAAGGTGACTGAGACCTGTCACTTCTCCTCACTTAGGTCCTAGCGCTCTCAGAGGAGAATCTCCTCGTGCTATTCTCCCCATTGGAAGGAAACTAGGAGGTACTTGTGCAAGCGCAGGCCAGCTTGTGGGTCTTGATGCACTAGTGTGGGCTGGCTGCAACAAAGCTGCCTTGGGCGTTTGCATCTCTGAAAAGTCCCATGGGAAGAGTGTGCAAAGGAAGACGTAGCAGGTGTCAATTTTTTCTTGTAGCCTATGTAGGTGTAGCTCTGGCTGCTTCTCATGTGAGGTGAGGAGTGACAGCAGTTCTCAGCACAGAGTACCCTGCTCCAGGGAACTAGACTCAGCCCTCAGGGCTGTGTCTAGCTGAGGAATAGGCAATAATCCTGTTTTTATCATCTTCAGCGGGAGATTCACTATGGTTCACACATCCTGATGAATAACGCTGCCCAGCCACCTTGGGAGGCTTGTCAGGGTCGTTGGACATGTACTACAGAGGGGGAAAACTGAAGTGCAGGGTTGTGCCTAGGGCCACACTGCAAATGTGTGGGAGAATCAGGATTAGAAACCAGGAGCCTCAAGCTCTGGATTCAAACACGGAGACCACATACCCGGCGAGTATTTCCCATCTTCAATGTGAAGATAGTAATTCAGTG